TTTTTTTTCTTTGGTGGGGTCTGGGAAGAGTAGAGGGAGAGGGAGAGAGAGAGAATCTTAAGCATGCTCCATGCTCAGTGCAGAGTCTGATTTGGGGCTGGATCTCATGACCCTGACATCATGACCTGGCCTGAAATCAAGAGATAGACACTTAATTGATGGAGCCACTCAGGCACCCCAAGTTTATGCCGTTCTGAACAGATGCAGTAGCTAAAGCATGGAGCTAGTGGTTGGTCAAATAGACCTGGATTAGAATTCCGACTCTATCCCTGTCTGGCTGTGTGTCCTTGGGGAAGTCATTCACTGTCTCTGAGTCTCACTTTCCACAGCTGACCACAGGGAAAAAGCACAGACCACAGGGAATCATGAGGGTGAAACATGAGATGCTTCCCAACATCCAATTTCTCTGTCTCTTGCTGATCTTTGAAGTTTGCCTTCCTGTTCTCTCTGGTGTCCACTTCTATGTGCCTGTTGAAAAAGATGATTCATTTATTCATTCATTAAGTAGCGACAGCATAGACCAGGCACTGGGTTAGGCCCAAGGAGTCAGGAATGAACAGAAAATACACAATTTTGAACCTAGAGATTTGAACCCAGCAGCCTGACTCAGGCTGTGATTCCACCATCATGGGGCCCTGCCTCAACTCCATCAAGAGGGGAGACACTCTCAAGTATCTCTCCTCAGATCCAAATCACAGAACGACATCGAATCACTCTGTGTGTTTCAGAATAACCTGTGGCTCAAAAAAAAAAAAAAAAAGTCAGGTTCCCAAAACACGGCCTCATCTCTGTGACTCAGAATCTTTGGAAGTGGAGTCTTCTTAGTTAAACTTTTTTTTTTTTAATATTTTATTTATTTGTTTGAAAGAGAGACATAGTGAAAAGAAACATAAGCAGGGAGGAGAGGGAGAAGCAGGCTCTCCAGAAGCAGGGAGCTTGATGCATAGCTCGATCCCAGGACCCTGGGATCATGACCTGAGCCCAAGGCAGACACTTAACCGACTGAGTCACCCAGGCGCCTCCTTAGTTAAACTTTTTAAAAAGCTCCCTGGTGCCTTGCATGTATAAGCCATCATTAGAACACTGATGCAGGAGCGGACATGGAATTTAAGACAACCTTAGGAATCTACTGAAGAATGGGGTCTGTGGCCCATTGTGGGATGGAAGGAAACCCAGGACCATCCGTCAAATCTTGGGTCAAATATCCCCTGTCCTGTGCTCTCTTCCCCAGTCCAGGTAACCACCAGGCCCCCTTTGGACCCTGTCCTCTGTCCCCCACTCCAGCAGGGTTTGCAGGTTGAACTGTGGTCTTCCTCCATCTCTGTCTTCTCCCCACTTGTGACACAGTCTGAGCTATTTGTCCCCATTTTGCATACATCAGAAGCCTCATGTGATGTGTTGAAAGAAGATGTGTCCAGAAGTCCTTCAGTAGGATCCTACAGTAGGATTTCAGGGTGCAGACAGAAAGACCTAAACTGAAAGGGGAAGACAGGACAGGATGGGCTGGGAAGGAAAGAAGCTGAGCGAACACTAGCCTGACTTTTCCAACTCCCATCTCTCAAACTGCCCCAGGGCTGAGAGTCAGAAAGAAGCCCCAAGCTGGAAGAACTCCTTAAAAACCGTAAATTCTATCCTTACCACCTCCATTTGCAAAACAGCTGCTTTCCCATCCAGAGGCCTGTGGGTGTGGCTACCGGGTGTCCATTGATCCTCCTTTATCTTGTGCTCTAAACCTTAGACCCTTCAGAGATCTAGAGTCTGCATGTTGGGGCACATCAGAGCTCTGTCTAAAGCCCTGTGGGAGGCTGACTAATGGCCCTGAAGATGTCCACACCCTAATCCCCCAGAACCTGTGAATATGGCACCTTACATGGCACAGGGACTTGGCTGATGTGATCAAGGTAAGAATTTTGAGGCAGGGAGATTATCTTGGGTTATCTGGATGAGCCCAATGTAATCACAAGGGCCCTTATAAGGTGGAAGCAGGGGTCTGAAGAAGAGCGGTGATGGGGGCCCACTGGCCAAGGAAGGAGAACAACCTCCAGAAGCTAGAAAGGACAATAGAAAAGATTGTCACCTAGAATTTCAGGAAGGGACAACTCCTTCCCCACACTTTGACGTTAGATCACTGATGCTGACATTGACTTCCAAGTTCCAGAAACATAAGATAATAAATGTGCATCGTTTTACACCATTAGTCAAGTGTATGGTAATTTGTTAGTGTCGATAGGAAATTAGTACGAGTGTCTTGCTGGATCTTCTGGGTTAACAGAAACCCACTTGTAGGACAAAACCCCATTCCTATACAAGACAGACACTCTGGGACCTTACTGTTATAAAAAATGACCCAAAGACGGCCTGTGTGCTTTGGCACCTAGATTGTTTACTTCTTCATGGCAGCTCAAAAGCTCGTTAGCTCAAAAGCCCACTGCTCCCTAACTCAAATTTTTACACATCCGGTTATTTTTAACATAACCCAAACAAGCAGAATTTCAACCATGTGGACACTGCCTGCTTTGTGTACCCCGGAAAACCTCAGCCAGCAAGTTAGCCCTTGATAAGAGACAGCCTGGTAGTTGCAAGTCCTCAGGAAGATGCTGCCCTTCAGAGTTCTCGGACTCAGTGACTCCTGGCCATGCTGATAAGTGACATCCCCTAGACTTTTAAGCCCCATTCAGATCCCCCTCTCCCCCAAGGTTCCCCTGCCCTCCTCCCCCTCTGGATGGTGATTCCTTTGCTTATGCTATGTAGACTCCCCCCGCTACCCTGTCCAAGTGACACTTGGTAAACAATCTTTTTCCTTGACCAGCCCCAAATCCCTGGAGCCCTTTATACCTAGAAACCCCTCTTAGGAGAAATGCCCCCATGCCCGGGACTTCTTTTGAATTACTGAACTAATATAGAAATCACACTATAAACTCCAAGGTGTCAAATTCTCTCTCTATAAGACTATGCGTATTTGCACGATTAACTCTCTATGAAGTTAAATATAGAGCAGTCCTATTTCTAGTTCTATAACTTTTTCCCACTCAATATCTAGGAAGCTGGTATATGAGACATAATGATACCTATCCAATCACTTTGCCCATATGACTGATGGATAAAGACAAAACAAAACAAAACAAAAAAAATTGGTATTTTAATGTGCCTCCCACCATTAATTTGTTCTTTCAGTTACATTTTTTCTTTATTTTTTCCCGTTACTTTTAATAGAGGTTAAGTTTATTATCTGTCTTTGCTTACTAAGGACCTCATCATTTTAGCATTTATTTCGAACAGTTTGGTCAGCTAAGCTCAGCCCACGGTGGTGAATTTTTGTCAAGCAGCACTGACAAGGCCATGGGTTAATTTTCACCATGGAAAGATTTGATTGATGATGCATATACCTTGCAGTTGTGATGCTGAACACTTCCCAGGTATATAGGGAACAGCATCATCTAGATAGGCAATAATGTCCTTCTCAGGGTGGGAGAACTTGAAAACTGTGTACAGTAGCTTAAGTGATGACTGTGAATGATTTGTTTGGTTTAAAGCTAAGCCACGAGTTAGGCACATGAAAAGTGGGTGTAATTAGGTCTGCTTCACATTATCATGTTTATTTCCCATCTATAAACTGTCAAATAGTGCAGCAATTTGGAAACTGGAATTGTCATGCAATGAGATGCATAGAATTAACACTTTTATGGAAGTCCTTCTGCATATACTACCAATGAATCAAGAACAGTGTTGGGTTGTTTGCAATTAAATACAGCCTAAGATTGGATTTTTATTCTATTCTTTTTTGCTATATATATAATATTTTATTTCTATATTTTATATATATATACATATATGTGTGTATATATATATGTATATATATATATACATATATATGTATGTGTATATATAAAGTGTGCAGTTTGAGATCATCAATTACATTCAAATATTTGTATCTGTCACTACTGTCTATTTCCAAAGCTTTGTCATAACCTGAGCAGCAACTTTGCACTTATTAAGCAATGACACTGCATTGCTTCCTCTCTCCCCAGCTCCTGAGAGCCTCTGCTTTACCTTTTGGTTTCTAAGAATATGCCCATTCTAGACCTACCATATAATTAGAACCATACAATATGTGTCATTTTCTGTCTGGTTTATGTCAATTAGCATAATGTTTTCCAGATTTGTCCATGTCCTAGCACAGGTCAGAACTTTGTTTTGTTTTAAGATTTTATTTATTTATTTATTTATTTATTTAAGAGAGAGAGTGCACACACGTGGATGGAGGGGTAGCGGGACAGGGAGAGAGAGAATCCCAAGCAGACTCCCTGCTGAGTGTGGAGCCTGACTTGGGGCTTGGCTCCGTTCCTTGACCCTGAGATCATGACCTGAGCCAAAAATCAAGAGTTGGACACTTAAACGACTGAGTCACCCAGACGCGCCTTCCTGCTTTTTCATGACTGAATACTGTTTCATTGTATGGTCAGTCCATATTTTTTAATCCAGCCATCTACTGATGACCACTTGAGTTGCTTCTGCTTTTTGGTGATGTGAATAAGATTGGAGTTTAACAAATAGATGGGCATAGCTAAAATATCCCTTGAACATTAGAACTCTTTAGGTTTCTTTTCCAAAGTGCCATAGCCACTCCCACCCCCCTGCCCTAAGGGGAAAAAAAAACTAATCATGTAGGGCACTGTACATCAGAAAAGTGAAGAAACTGAATTTTAAAGGAGTAATTTTGGTAAAAATGAGAGATATGGGATCTCACTGCAAAATAGTCATTTTGTGTCTTTGGGAAACAGTTAAGAGCCTTCTCTATCCAAACAGGTAAATTTCTAAACTATTTAGTGGAAGAAATTTTATTTTTAAATTACCTTTAATCTGCATCTGTCATGTATAGAGAAGAAAGAAACAAAGAGAACATTCAAACTTTTCTTCTTCATTGTTTGAATATTTCAAGAAAAGGAACAGACCTTTATTATCCGAGTAATTGTCACAAACATTGTGTTTGTTTGCCCATGGCTTGGATTTACATGATTGTTTATGTTTAGAGGCACAGAAAAACTCACTGACCGGATGTGTCGGTTTTGATGTTCACAATGGAAGGTGATAGCTGATGGGCGATTCTACTACCAACAGTGAATTTCTATTCACAGATCCTGTGGACAGGTCCACAAAGGCTAAATTAAAAGAACAATGGATGCACATGTATCAAATGCCTACTGTGTCCCTGGATGTGCTCACGGCCTTTAGGATGCACAGCAATTCCTTAAATAAAATCTGATTCCCATTTAATATATGAGCAAACTGACCCTCTGAGATGGTTAATCAAATTTGTCCAGAGTTACCCACATTTTAAGTGATTATGGCAAGATTGAGAAACCCAGCATTCTTACTGGGAAGCCGATAAACATAAATAGAGGGAAAAAAATGTAAATCACAGCTGAATTGGATACTTGAAGTGCAAATCAGAACTAGGTACAGTCTTTAATTGTGTGGAAAATGCAAATTGCTACTAAAGATAGAACTTCCAAATTAAGGAAAGTGGAAATGGAGTCTGCCATGCATTCTTTTTTAAATGCTGTGTACAGCTTTTAACATGCACTGTTAAATGTCTCAGCAACATTCTCTCATGTTTGACAAATAATCTAAGAGGTTTTGTAGGTCTGCCAGGGTTTGCACCCACATAAGACAAAGTTTTCCATGCTGACCCCCGTCCACAGTTTGTTCTGAGCATATCCTTTTTTCTCAGATGGTTTGGCTGGGCTCTGTCAAAATACAATGAAAGCAACACAGTGTGCAAAACTGCATCCTACTTATGGAACAAATGATTTATGCAAAATCACTTAGTCACCATCACATGTGATCAAAAGATTGGACTGAAAATAGTCCGATACCTCAGGTCAAAATAGTCAAAATTACATAGCAGGACCAAGGACTTACAATAATGACAACCTACATTAGTATAATGGACTCTGAGGTTCAGGAAAGCTTATACTTATGTTAATCTCTCTTTTAAGTATGACCAAAGATCCATTAGGTAGGTGTTCTGTCCATCTGATTGTCAAGGAACAACCAGGTATGGTAACTAGTCTCCAAAGAGGGCCCCCTGAGGACCACACCCCCTATTCTTCAACTCCTTATGTAGTCCTTTCCCACACTGAATCTGGGCTGACTCTATTGAAACAATAGGATGTGACAATCGTTTAACATGGAACCCTTGCAACTTTGGCTATGGTCTTTTGCAACACTCACTCTCGGGACAGCCAAGTGCCATGTAAGAAGTCTCTTCAATGACCCTAAGTCTGCCATGCTGCAAGGAAGCCCAAGCTGGCCATGTGGAGAGAGAGAGACTGTGGTGCCTAGGCAGCCCCGGGGGCTGCAGTCATCCCAACGGAGACATCAAATGTGCAATGAAAGAAGCCTCTTGGACATACAAGCCTTCAGACAACGTCCATCCTAGCCACTGCCTGACTACAGCGGAGCACCCAAGCAAGACCTGCCCAGCTGTTCCCAGAGCACCCCCAGAACTAGGAGGAATAATAAATTGTTGCATCAAACTACTACATTTTGGGGCGGTTTGTTACACAGCCTTAGGTGACTGGAGCACCAGGTCCCTTTAGCTGTTGTTGCTTTTCCCACTGCACCAAACAAGTGACTAAATAAGGAATGTAGCTTCCCTAAACCACTATCAACTAGATATCTGCTTTATGCAAATGACCGTGTAAGGCACTATCTTCCACCTGGGGTGCAAACTGTCCGGTGGGGGGTTCGACAAATGATTGGACAGGCACCAGGAAGTTGTTCTGAGTGCTCATCTGTGTTTTGCTATTAACTATGTGAGTGTGACCAGTGACTACTTCTCCACATCTTCACAGTCTTCGTCCATAAGACAAGAAGATTGGCTTAAATGACTTCTAAGATCCCTTTGAACCGCATCAACAGATATCAACAGTTTTTTTTTTTTTCTCCAGTTTTTGGTTGAATTATCAAAAAGATGTAACTTGATTTTAATATACATGCACAGATACACACACACTCATGAGTTGGAAAAATCGAGCCATACACACCAAGATGTTGACAATGATTATCTCTGAATAGTCTTACTTGAAGGATCTGGTTGTCACACAATAGACATGCATTCCTTGGGTAACAACCCTGGGTTGGGTTTGTTTTCAAGAGAGATCATAAAAAAAAAACTGAGCTTAAGCCAAGATGAATGGCAAGAAAGTAGACTTGTCTTTGCATTAGTTATCTACACATAATAAATCGCTGCAAACTTAGCATTGTAAACCAACATACATGTAGCACCTCTCTTTCCATGGGGCAGGAGTTTGAATCAGCCCTAGCTAGCTTTGCTTCCATCTCACCAGGTAGCTCCTAATGTTTCAGCCAGGCTGCTTTGTCATCTGGAGCTTGGGGCCCTCCTCCAAGCTCACAGGCTGTTGGAATATGGAGTTTTTTGCAGAGGTGGGGCTGCAGGCTTTGTTTTCTTGCTGGACGTTGGCTGGTGGTGGGGGGAAGGGGGGGATGTGGGGTGGAGCACTCTCAGCATTACCGGCCCCTACAGTCCCTGGCTATACTGAACCCCCTCCTATGTCTCTCACAACATGGTAGGTGACTTCTTCAAAGCCAGTAGGAGACTCTCTCTCCAGTCCACTGTTAGTCTCATATATCATATATAGTCACACCCTGTTGCCTTTGCCATATAAAGTAACCTAATTAAGATGGTAGATATCCCATCTTATTTACAAGTCCTGTGAACTTACAAGGGGTGAGGACTAGACAGGGCGTGTTCAGCAAGGGCTGGGAGCACAGGGCAACTGTTCATGAATTCTGCCTACTATAGTGTTTTGCGGGTATTTGTCTTAAGTTCCTGATTTCCATTTTTGCTTTCTTTGTGCTCTAGCCCTTTCTATGGGCAGATATGTTGAAGAAGGTCTCTTTTGCATTGAAAGGGAAAGTAGCCTGGAGGTGAAGTATGCTAACCATGAAGACAGACTACCCAGGGAACAAATATGGCTCTACCATTTACTAGCCATATCCCATTTAATAGCTCTGTGCCTTGGACTTCCCATCCATAAAAGGTTAATAGTAGTACCTGTCTCTTAGGCTGATGTAAAGATTAAGTGAGATAATACCTGCCTAGCTTTTGGTAAACACTCAACTATTATCCCATTACTCTCTAGAAGGGATGACACCTATCATGAGAGCTGAGTTACTTTGCAATATTAAGAGTGTTTATAGAATAAGGATCTCTTTTATTTTCACATTGTCCACTAGCCATGTAACACTCATAGAATCTCTGCAAAGAAGGCATCATTTATCCTGTTTTACAGGTGAGTACCAGAAATGCAGAGAAGTTAAGGGAATTGTCCAACATCACATAGCTATGGAAAAAGCTGAGCCAAACCCCTAAGTTTAGGTCTTTCTAATCCAAGGCCAGTGTTCTTTCTTTCCAGTGTGTCAACATGAGAAAGTGGTATGAGACTTGTTCTTCATGATACCCTTTAGTAGAACTCATATCCATGGGAGAAAGCTAGGGAATAGAAGTTTAGGTACAGGAAGTGTGAATTTTAATAGCCAGTTTGGAAATGTGATGGGTTGCCTTGGAGGATACTAGGTTCTCCATTAGTGCAATATTCAGAGCATGTTGTGCAGTATGGCATAGTAGAAAGAGCCTGGGCACTTCTGTGAGTCATTTAGTTAGTAAATATTTGTACCTTCTATGTCAAGAATTGCCCTATTTGCTGGGGATATGGTGACCAGCAAAAACATAGAGCTTGGATTGATTCTTTGCTCAGAGATTTGTTAGGACCAAATGAGGCAGTGTATTGTGAAACGCTAGAGAAGGTGTTCCCAGGAGGCCAGCCAGGCCACGAAGCTGGGATATGGTGGAGGGAGTTTTCACATCAGATTGACTCCCGGGATGGAGTTACTATTTAATCCACAAACAAATATTTCCTATCTACCACGTGCCAAGCACTGTGTTAGGTGCCAGGATGTTGCAATCAAGAGGAAGGGACATTTATGCACAAGCTCCATATGAAATATTTGACGAACAGTAGAGACACAATGTCCTATATCATAAGTAAGATGAAGCAGTGTCTTCATATTTGTGAGAACAAGGAAGTTTTCAGGAAGGTGGAGTTTATGTTTGATATTGATGCATTAACATTATTTTGATAGTCCGGTAAGTCAAAAACAGAGACCTGTTACTTTGTAACGAATGCATCTACTATTATATTCAGCATTTTTATGTATCAGCCGATAAAATAGACTCATTCCCTCTCATCTCTCATTTAAGTGGAAGAATTATCATAATCCTGTGGGTTGGTCAGACTACCCACATGAAGTGCAGAGAGACTAAAACATTTCTGCAAGTTGACTATCTTAGATTGGATGCCCTAGAAACAAAGCCTAGGATGGGGATCCCCGTATTCTTGGGCAAGTCACCTACTGAGAATGGGATTACGAAAGAAATGGGTAAGGCAATGAAGGACACAGGACAAAGTAGGGAAAGAAGCTAAGCATAGTGTGGTGTCAGGAGAAGTCTGGTGTCGGAGTGATACTGCAAGGAGTTCTAGAGCATGAATTCTACCACAGGGGTCATTCTGCCCCAGGACCAGCAGGCTCCCTCAACCCTACTGCCTCCCCACATCTGTCAGTCATTAGTCACAGGCAACCCCCAAGAAAGCAAAGAAGCTGAGTGAGCTCAACTCCCCAGGCACATCCAGGTAAGGCAACTCCTTCAACTCAGGGAAATCCTCCAGAAAGCAGTAGAGGGTGAGCCCTGAGCAACCAACTCTTTTGGTAGCTGGAGGTGGGATACTTCCTAGTAATGGGATCTGGATGGGATGTTAACAGCAGTGGCTACAGTCCCGTAGCTGGAGGAGGATAGGGAGGCCAAGGCAGTCGGTGCCTACAGACTGGGTCAAAACCAGTTTCGGTTTGTTTCCTAAAATCCTAAATGCTTTTAACCACTATGCCATATCCCCACAGAGTTTGTAGTGTTTTACCTACTTTATCTCACTGAATTCCCCCCCCCCAAAAAAATTAAGTAAATATCAACCCACTTATATTGAGAAGGATATTGAGTTTCTGAGAATTTGAACACAAGGCCACATGGCCAAGAACTAGCAAAGCTGGGATACACACGCAGGGCTCCTGGCTCTAAATGCTTTTTCTCTCAGGTGACCTAACAGAGGAATTTGGAGCAAAAGGAGTAAAGATATTGGTATGAGCATGAATTGAAGAACCAAAGCCATTTCCTACATCTACATATTTCAGCCAAGCAGCTCGAAGTTCTGCTGAAGTGTTTGTAGCTGTGGTCCTCACTCCTTGTTTGCCATTTGGAGAGTTCCGCCATGTTGCTCCGTGCGAACTCAAGTGCAGACTTCCTAAATGAAGGTCTGCCAGGAAGGAACCTGCTTTATCGTGTGTCTGATGTATCAAGTCCCCAGCCACTCTTTCACTTGAAGACCGTCTGGTATAACCCTATCCTCACATCCTGCGTGCCCATCATTTCACTACACACTCTGCTCTGCGTAATAGATGTTTATGCTTTACTTCTCCCTCCCCTCACTCAAGATTGCAGGGACCACAAAATAGCAGAGCAAGGACACTGGGGACTAAGTTCCAGCTGTAACAGATCACTGTCTCTGGCAACCTGGGCAAGCCCTTTATGGTCTGAGTTTGAGTTTCCTCCTCTGTAAAATCAGCACCATGGCATTTCCTACTTCTCAGAATTGTCATGTGGATTAGAAGCAACATATTTAAAACACTAAGCATACAGCGGGTGTGCAATAAAGGATAGTTATTGTCTGTGACAGATACACCTGCGCAGGAGACAGAGACACACAGGGGCTTGCTAAGAAAGCTTCCACCACTTGGAAAGCAGATGCCATGGCCACAAGTGTCTGTCGCATAGCGAGTTCTCAATGTGTTTTCAAGTCTGTTGCCCGCATCCCCTCCCTTCTTTCTCCTCCCCATCACCACTGTCTTGATTCCTCAAGCTGCCCTTGTCCAGAATGCCGATTTGCTTACATCCTTTGGCTTCCATTCCCCAGCATCATGGCAATTCCTCCAAGAAGCTTTTCTGTGGAAAGAACAGGGTCCTGTGGCCTGGGAGTTAAGTGATCATGCCCTTTGGGAAGATCCTTCTTCTCTTCCTACTCCTGAGTAGTGGCATTTTGAGAGACACCTCTGCCATCTCTCACCTTCTTTTGATGACTCTCAGTGCCACATTCCCCATCTTGGGGACAACTATCACCCTGGACCGAGTGATATCTCTCTATTTCTTCTCGAACAATGAGGGCAGGCCCATTTCTTCCATCTCCGTTTCCTTCTCTCCATAGCGGGGCTAGCAGACTCCTCCCAGGGACGTTCCCAAATGACACGACAAAGTATAGAACATACTGCACTGGCCAGTCCAAGCACAGCTAAGCGCCATCCCCTTGTCTTCATGGCCCCTCCATGCTTTTTATTTAAACCCAGAAGAGTTAGTGATTTTTAGTTCCTATTGTGTTTTCTTTTACACTCCTAAGGGCTTAACACCATACTAAGCACATAGTAGGGCTCAAAGGAAAAATACAATTATAGTGAACACCTGAACTCTCAGTGGTGATCTCGGATTCCACCTCTTTACGTAGCGGTCACCCTGCACATTGGACTCTTCTGCCCTGTGTCTCCCTTCAGCTAAGTAACAGTCTCCCAGGATTGAAAGAGCAATCCACCCTGTGCTCAGAGGTCCTCACATTTTTAGGCTGTGAGCTGATAACTAAATACTGTCAATGGGATTTCAGCACTACCTGATTCCTGGAGGAAGGGAGCAGGCAGGGGTTGTCCCAACTCAGAAACGTCAAGTGCAGTGAATATTCCAAACACAATAGCTGAGGCTCTGTTCCCCGCCGCTCCCAGCTGCCTCTCTGGAACGTCCCACCTGGAGGCTCCCAGGCCACCCCTGCTCCTGGGCCAATCGGGACAGGAACGTCACTCCCTCTAGTTGGCATCTCTCTGTTAATAAAATTGAAATGGTGTTTGGAGAGAGATCAGGTGCCCATCTGGCTCCCAAGTCACTGCATCTGTGCCCCTAGGAAGGCAGGCCCAGGTCCCCTGTAGGGCCTTCTCCGAATTTGGGGGTGCACAGATGAGACTGAAATGCCTGGGATACTGCAGTACAAGTACGCCTTGTATTTTCCTAAGGACGGGCTGGACTTTTGCCATAAATGCAGTAACAGAGAACCACTAGGACCCCTGACCCATGTAGACCTCCATGAACACATCCTCCGTCAAGACCCCGCACCCCAAATCAGCAATTACTTAATTTATACCAACTGGTCGTTTTACCCTGGACCACCCATACCAGGAACTGTGCTAACGCCAGCCACTAGGTCATGTCCCCAGTGCTCGGTCCTTGCTTACTCCACTCCTGCCCACCACCTCTGACGCCAACACTGCATGCTTCAAGCATAGCATCCCCATTAGGGCACAGGCATCCATGGGTATTTTGCAAAAAAATTTTCTTTGGAAAGTCAGAAGACTCACATTGGAGTCTCCACACCAAATTCCTGGGCAATCCTGGAAACTCACTTTAACCTCTCTGGGCCTCTCCTCTCTTCAGCTCTTAATGACTGTGACGAAGCAAGGTCCAACGGTGTGCTGCGGAGGGAAGCACTCTCCAGATTGCAAAGTGCCATGTCAACGGGAAGCCTGCTATAAATATTTTGGCCACACCCTCTGGGGAGTTGGTTGTGTAATGACAACCTTAATGTGTTCAGAGGGGGGACGTGTTCTTCCTGCTGTGTTTGCAGGACCAGGGGTGGGGCCTGAGCCACGCCAAGGTCAGGCTAGGCTGCAGCTGCTGCCCCTAACCAAGGTGACTCACTTCCCTGATAGCATCGCTGAGAAAAGGGCAGGCTCTTTTCTTGCCCCTCTCCTTTTGCTCAGGCCCACCTCTTGAGGTGGAAGACATTTGGCACCAGGGAAGGAATCTGTCAGGTTAAGTCAGGAAAAACTGTGTCCAAGTCTGGGCCTTTCCTTTTGAGTTCAGAAAGAGTAGGGCAGGATCAAAACCAAACACCACAAATCTGTGCTTTGGCTCTAAGTGGACTCCCAGCCTTGGCTTGGAGTCCGTGTGACCTTGGCAAGTTCCTTATCTCCTCCATGCCGATTTCTTCCTCCTTGAACTCGCCATAATAATTACTACTTCCTGGGGTTGTTTGGGGGCATTTTCAATGAGTTCTTATATATAATGTCCATTTCACTTCGCTGCGTTAAATATAAACTCTGTCAGGAAACGGGTTTACTTTGCTTCTTTGTATTTCTTTTTTTGTTGTTGTTGTTTTACATAATGATTGTGTTTTGCTTTCATAATAAGAAAACATATCCAGTGTATTTAATTCTGTAAAAGGCTGACTGAATAAGAATGCCTGCGAAAACCAAGACTCGGGGGACTTGCGTGACCACCTCCAACAAGTCAGCTGCTCAGGAGTAGAAGTGAAATTGAAATCAGGCCTCTCTCCCCTAGGTGCAGGTACAAGGGCTGCCTTAGGCTCTACCTCCACTTTGTGCTTTTCTCTTTGCCATTTTGACCCCTGGGAGTTTAAATTTCCTTTCCATTTCAGGATTACACATTCAGAGTTGATTTTAAAACACACACATATTTATGTCTCAATGCATATGGAATTATGTGTCTATAAATGCATATCGATCTTTCAGGAAATAGATAAACAGACTCCCAACCTAAGCAAAAGTCTGTCTACACCATGAGTCGGCTTTCCACAAAATCTACAAGATGGGAACACATACAGTTTGCAATTTCTCTTTTCTAAGTGGGTTTCCAGAGACCCATTGCCACCTGGGGTGAAGTACACAGCCCTGAGACCATTCTGAAGGCCAATGGTTTCATCCCCTTTATTGTAGGTTTTGCCCATTGCTAAGATCAGAAATGTATGCAAGCACTCTTCGAGGCAAAGATGTGTGACAAGGGAGCTTCTTGTTAGTATTAACTACTTCTCCAGTCTTCATATTGCTTTGTCCACTCTGAGTTAACAGGGGGTTAAAATCCACGCTCAGGGACCTGCTGAAGTTGGGAGTCGGTGAACCTGCCACTTCCAGAGTAACAGGGGATCTCAGTGAAGACAAATCTCACAATGCAAGTAAAAAATAAATCTGATGACCACAGAGAGACATTAAAAATTAAAATGAACAATGAAGAAAGGAGAGGGCAAGAGAGAAGCATAATAGCCATGAAAAACATTTCTTTTTAAAGTAACAAAGGAATATAGATTCTGCAATAAGTACAACACAGACAGCTATTTTGAGTCTGGGGCAAGTTAATTATATTCAAAAAAGACAGGGTCTCCAGGACTTTTTTTTTTTTTTTTTGCAGTGAAATATTTTAGTTCCTTCATATAGAGACATATTACACAATGTTAACAACCATGAAAAACAATACAAAATGCCCTCAATTTACCAAGTAGAAAAATATAACTAGTATATATGGCAATTGTGAATCTAATACTGTACAGAAGTAATTTATGGATTTTACAAATAAATTATAGCTTAAATGCCCTTTTAAAATTCTTTTTTTTTTTTTCCTCCCCCGATATACACCAGAACTTACAATAGGAAAGGTTCCGAGCCTGGGTTATTGCAGATCAGTGCCAGTCAAATGTCCTGCCCACAAGCTCGAAGAATTTCTTATTTGGCTCGTGAAAATATTCGTGCAGTTTACTGAGGAGTCTGGGGTCAACTTGGGGGTGCGCCCGGCCTTTGGACTCGTGCAAGCAGCGGTCCCGTCCGCCGTCCCGCAGGCAGTAAAAGCCCTTGGTTTTGTTAAAGTAGAAGTTCGAGGCGTTGATCCGCGGCGACAGCTTCAGGAACCGCTCGACCTTCTGGATCTCCGGGAAAGGGTCCCTGATGAGGCGGTCGCCGTCGACTATGTGGATGCGGCGCAGCGGGAAGAAGCGCAGCCAGTTCTGCAAGTGCACGTGGTAGAGGCTGCGGTTGAGCGCCTTGTAGCCCACGTTGAGCCGGCCGTCGCGCACCAGGAACTCCTCGATGGACGGGTAGGGCTTGCGCTTCTGCACGTGGTTGTAGAACACTTGGGTGTAGTCGGACAGCACGCGCTCGGACGGGTCCCGCAGGATGAGCAGCAGCCGGATGCCCGGGTTCATGCTGTGGACGCGCTCAGGCACTTTGGGCGACGTGAAGTACGCGGGGGTCTTCTCCACCGTGAGCTGGTGCGGGGATGAGAAGGGCATCTGGCCCAGGTACCAGCCCAGGCCTTGGCTGTAGTGCTCCTCCCAGTCGAAGAAGTGGACCTCGTTCTCGGCGGCCGCCACGTCGGGGTGCAGGCTGAGCATCTCCAGCAGCGCGCGCGTGCCGCCCTTGCGCACGCCGATGATGATGGTCTGCGGCAGCTGCTGGGCCGAGCCGTTGGGGGCCGCGCCTTGTCGGCCCTCACCCTGGAGGCTGGCTGCTCTGCGCGCGAGCTCCGGCTGGCCCTGCGCGTCCCCGGGCACTGCGGGGCGGGAAGGCACTAGCTGGAGCTGGGCCACCAGCAGCACCGCGCCCAGGAGCAGCGCGGCCGTGCTGGACACCATGGTGGCTTCACTGGGCCCGGCGTCGCTGGGTCATGAAGCGCTGCCGCGGGGAATGCCTCCTAATCAGTGACACATGGGTGTCGCAGGCCGCCAGTTACTAGGAAATAAAGGGGAAAGATATTAACCCCAAATACAGACAGGGCTTACTGGAGCTGACAACTCTGTAGTCTTGGGTACAGCAGTCACCTCTCTGGGGCTCTCTCCGTTTCTTTATCCTATCGTGCAGGGAGTGGCAAACACTTTTTCTACAGGGCCAGATAGGAAATGTTCTAGGTTTTGCAGGACACAGTCTCTATGGCAACTCCAAGTATGCTGTTTTGCTCAGGTGGCCTTGGACAGTACACAGAGGAATGGGTGTGGCTGTGTTCCAATAAAACTTTACTTATGGATATTGAAATCTGAATTTCATATAATGTTCATGCATCATTAAATATGATTTTCTTTTGATTTTTTTCAATAATTCATACGTTCAGCTCTCTGTGTTCACAAAATCATGGACAGATTTGGCCCGGCGGTCAGAGTTTGCCAATCTCTGCTGTAAAGGAAATGGTGGGAAAGGTCTTTTGGACCTCAGCAAACATCACTGAAATATCTACTACCTGCCAGTCCCAGGCAGAGGGGCTGGTGATAGAGAAGCAGACGTTGTTCCTGTCCCCAGCCACCCAGCGGGGGCTCCTGATCTAACAGGGCAGGCGAACCTGTATGAAAGACTGAACAATTAGCTCCCATTCTTTACTCCTCCCTGCATCCAATCCTTACTATGGCCTCACTGTGGGGTGAGTGTGCTCCCCAGCGATTTCATTTGGGTTTGGCCAATGGCTTGTGAGTGGAAATGACAAGATGCCATTCCCCAGCCTCGGTCTCGAGAAGCTTTGTGTGTTTGCACTTGCCCTCTTGCGCTTCTGCCACGACCGTGAGCAGAACGTGCCCCGGCCAGCCACTGGGTTCCAGAGGAAGGTGAGAGACATGTACAGCAGAGTCACATGCAAGCCCACTGTGTGCAACACAGCCATCCTTGCTCGGGAGGGAGAATCCACCCTTGTGGCTAGAAGCCATTGCATTTTGGGGCGGTTGGTATTGCAGAATAAATGTGGCCAAGGTTAACTGATATCACCTGACTGCAGGCTTCAGTGCTATGCATGCTCTGATTATAGTTTAGGCAGGGTGGTATGAGGACACATGGGCACTCATTTTGCCTGGAACAACTTGGGATGGCCTCATGGTAGAGAAAGTGTTCGAAGGGAGCCTAGAGGGGTAAACACGGAGGGGGCTGGAAAGAGCAGAGCTCCTTCGCGTGTGCAAAGTTGTACCGCTCATGAAGTGGTTTTGCAGTCTCATCAGTCGACTGGCACCGTGACCCTACAGTGCAAGGTAGCAAGCAGGACAGGTATAGATAGGAATCTTGCCCAAGGACACGGGAATTTAGTCCACTTCAAAATTCAGAGCCCAAATTCAGAACTCTGAACGCAGGGCTCTTTCCACAAACAGCCCTCTTTATACTTTCTCCTCTTTATCAAGCTGAACTTTATAACATTTAGGCATTGAAGTCCCACAAGGACACAGCCACTGCTGGGCCAGATGGCAGCAGCTTCCCAAGGACAGAGGAGTCACGTCCGTGTTTCAGGGAACCGATAAACTACCATCATTAAGAGGTGTTTGACGGTCTCCCAGGAAGAGGGCATTGGAAGTTCTTGAAAGTAATCTGTCCTAACACAGTTAGGGAAGGGTGAGTGACAGGCCTGCCTTGGGGACTGTGGGCTTTAGAGAGCCAGTAAAAATGTTCTCCATCAAGAGAGCCCATCGTCTTCTTTATGCCAGGTTTAAAATTCACTTTATTAGTTTAAAACTTGTGTAGAATGTATAAACGAAGAATTTTTATGGTCTTCCATTTTTTATAATCAAACCAATTGCACTACCTCCCTCAGATATCAATTGTATTAGCTGCTTTGAAAAATGTGTATTAAAATGTCTTAACTTAAAAAAGCAATTAAAAACTGGACATTTTTAGAGAATCACAGAACTAGAGAAGGGACTTGCAAGATCAGCTGGCTTAATTATTTAGGGAAAAAAAGAA